TTGAAATTTCTATAAAAAATTGAAATTTTTCTTTATATTGATCAAAGTGTTGAAAATATTTCCTTTAAATTGACAATTCAAAACTTTATTGATTTGAGAAATTCAAGATCATTTCTTTGTTCCTCAATATAAGATTAACTTAATATTGAAAAGCCCATCCTGCTTACCTTCGTTTTACCTGGAACAGCACGTGCAATGTGTGTCCAGCGATCGGTTCTACTTTTCGGTATCTGAGCCAATGCATTCTCCAAGCATTTCTGCTGTACTTGGCTCCAAACATCTGCTAAATTCTCTTTTTCCTTCGTAGCATCTTCCTGTTTATTTTCTTCCTTCTCATCTTCTTTGCATTGCGTCTTATTTTCTTCCTCAGTTGAGTCTTCCGGCTGCTCTTCTTCTTTGGGTACTTCTTTTCTCGTCTTGACCTTCCGCTTCCTGACTTGTCTGTATTGCTCAATGTCTGAATCTTCGTCATCATTGTTCGAAAACCCCTGGTCGTAATCATCTGGTATATCATCCTGGGTCATGTACAGCTCGTTCTGAGTGACCGTGATGATTGGTTTGGTACTCAGCTCAGATTCTATCGCCTTTGAAATTATATTATCGCTGATTTGGAATGCAGCTCGCTTGCCAACTGCCACTGATGTTTGGTTGCCTGATAAAAACAAAAAAATAACATTCAACAAACTAATGAATATTTATCATTTAAAACGTAATTCAAATGTAATTGTAAGATGAAAATAAACTATAGTATGTGATACACAGCTAGTAGCAGATTACAACGCTTTATAAATATCCATGTTTTTCTTTGGATATCTTAATAAGAGCACTTTCTTCGTGAATTTCTAGGAATCTTTATAGCCTATGAATCAATATTAAAGAGCGTGTTATTGAAACTGCAGTCAAACCCAATTACACTACCCCTATTTTCACATAAACTCCACCCTCCACCATTACTTTGTTTGGAAAAATTTTACAGTAGAAAACCATCTTTTCATGCTTTCCACCCTGTAAATAATTATTTTAGGGCAATTTACTATCAAAACGGAGAAAAGCCACCCAATTTTCTGTATTATCAGATACTTTTTCTAGAACAATCTAATATGCATTTCCGCACTTCATGGGCCAGGAAACTGTCCTCCCAAATTTGTTTCTACAGTTTATTGAAAAGAGCCTCCTGCTTGTTTTATATGGAACCTTCTTTGATTGAAGAATAATTCACAATTTTCCGGATTGGGTCATGCTGGTTAGTGAGCACACTCTTGGTCTAGCCCTGGGTGCAAGTATTTCTGTATTTGATTCATGTTGCTTTTAATCCTTGAGCAAAAACTTGTGTTTGGGTGGATTCTATAAAGTGTTTCTTTTAGTGTTGTTTCTGTCTTAATCAAATAAGCACAAGAAGGTACAACTATACTACTCTTAATAAAATGCTTCCATCGCTTTACTGTCAAAAACTGATGGAATTTTAACAAGGTATAAATTACTATATGACAATCAAAACTATTTATATGACAAAGAAATTCAAGAACTATTGAGTAATACCTGAAGCGATTGTCCCAGAATCACATAAAGAAGTCTTCATTTCTTTGACCTTCTTTGTAACCTTAACAAAAACAAATAAAGATGAAACATTTCATGTTACTTAATCACTATTAACCGGAATAATCATTGTCCGTTCAAATATATATTGAAATGTTGATTACTATACATTAAAGTTAGACTATAAAATATTTAAAATTATTCAGAGTAAGTGTATTAAAAAATTCAAGGTAGCAAAGAGGCTAAACAGTTAGCAGCATTAACGACTTAAATTTGATGGAAATATGAGAATATATTACTGTTCTGCAAAACTTTAGTGGAAATACTAACAAAAAATAAAGGGAAGAAGTGTTCTTGGCTGCCATCAGTTGTTGTAAAGGGCCTGATTCAAAAGGACCCAACCAACTATGAAAGGAATCTGTTTGTTGGATAATAAGCAAGTTTTTCTGCCAAAGAGAGCAGTTTTATCGTGTATGATCTCTCCCTCTTGATGAAAATGGCATCCACAACAATGCAAAATGCAACGACAAAAACTGTAGCCAATAACGAAACTAACCTCTTGAACAGTACGGCCAATCTGGTGCGCAATGCGATCCCATCGACCTGGTGTCCCTCCAGGGAACTTGGCCATGGCTTTTGCAAGAGCTGACAAATCTTCTTCAGTCCATTCGGAATTCTAAAGTCGTTACAGAGATTCATTCAGTTCAATGCTGAGCCAGCAAACAAAAATTTATAAACATACATCCAAACAAAGTTTTGGCGGTAAAGAATATAAAATAGCTTACATCGACAAAAAATTTTAATACTTCGGCCTGACACTCGAGAACTCTAAGCTAGAAAACATATATGATATATATATATTTATATACATATCCAGTTCTGGATTGAAATAGGCCAATTAGTAAAGCGAGCACATGGCTGTGAAGGTTGCTAATCAGTGTCGCGGAAGGAGCCTGACACTTAATTGAGATTTGAAATACCAATCTACTTTATTAGCAGTCCTGATAATCGATGTAAAAGACCCCTTTGCGTCATCATCATTGGCTTATCTATTTGCTTTATTCCACAACAATGTAGACTACAAACTAAATCAGGGCTGCAGCTTAGAACTAAAAGATCTTCCCAGACCTCTCTGGCACGAAAAATCTCACTAGCGGTATTCCAGAAGTGACACAAACAGCTCCAGCCAAAATGGAAAACAGATCAACGTTGGAACAGAAATCTCTATCCGTTTCTAAATGTCAAATGGACGCTTTAAATTCGACTGAAATGGAGAGTTGATGTGGAAACGTTCTTTAAGGGCACCAGCATAGATAGGGCTTAGCAGGAATGAAATCAGATATTATCAGTTCATGAAGTATGATACGTCGATAAATGCTTTCCTGACGAAGTTTGTTTATTTCATGCTTTAAAAGATGCTTCTCACCTTGCGATTTACTTGATCGTCGCTTTCCACATCATCTTCATTTTGTCGGTTCATATAGGCAGCTGACATCACTGGCAAACTGTCGTCAATTTCTGAAGCATCTCGCAGTTTAACTACAGGCTTCTTCTTTACTGGCCGCGGTTTTTCTATGAAATAAACAATTGATATTTAAAGGTATTGGGATAAACAGTGGTGCTGTCCTATAAAGCTTGGAGGGGACTTTGCTGTATGCAACTGCAAGAAGCCACATCAGTGACCAAACCCATTTCCACACTCTTATGTTGAAGTTTCTCTGTCGTTTATTTGAAATCATTTAAGTCCTTCAACAGCTCAAAGACTGATAGGAATTGCTCTTTCGCGGAAAATAGTCCCAGCATAATAAAAGATTGTCTACACAGAATTCGTCGAACACAACATATGCACACTTGTTAGAGTGGGCCTAGCCCCACCAGCTCCACTCTCCCCCCCCCCTGAACACCAGAGTCTTTCACGGCATCTTTTTAATAAAATTCGATCGATCATATCTTAAAAACAAAAGAATAAACAGACAATGTCCTGGTAGCCTTAAGGATAAATATAATTATAGGGCCAAACCCTATAACTATAAACAAGAAATTGCAGGAACCTAAAAATTCGAAGAGATGATCTTAAATAAATCAAAAGTCGTGTGCCATTTGGCTTTTAAAGCATATTTATGATATTCCCATTTATAATGAGAGATCTACACGTTATGAATTAAAAACACAATTTTTAGATAAAAGTTTACCTCACAAGCTGAAATTGACTTAAAACATATCTCCTAGAAGATCAGCTGCTTTTTAGACATGTTATTATACTTAATTCTACCTTTATCTTTTTATAGTCGTACTAATGCATGGAACACTTGCCTGATGACCTCATTGATCAACTCAGAGAAGTAACTTAGAAAATCCAAACCCGTCATTACAAAAAAATATCTTTAACAGTTGCGGTGCCAAGGGAGGTAATATCCCCCCCCCCCACTTTTGTCAAAACATGGTCTACATATTTCTTCATATTCAGAAACCGCAAGCTTTGAAACTGGAAACAGCCATTAAGATCAAAAGGATGCTTTTCCATCAATGCAAAATTATTTAAATAAACATGAGAAAATGAACAAAAATTATCTGAATTAAACTACAAGAAAAGTAAACATATGTCATACATAAAACTCAGGGGGTACTCCCATTTGTAAAATTTGCTGCTGGTATATACATTTGTAAAACTTCTGACACCATTCGTTGTTTGAGCGATTGACCGAGCGAATAAACGACACGTTTTGACACACAAAATAAATTCCTTTTGTTCCATCCAAAGCTAAGACGTTCTTTTACACAATATCGAAACTTAGGTACTAAACAGCCTTTCACAAGCACTGTTACGCCATTAAATTATATATATTTATATATGAAACGAAACCTCGAGTGCTTTCACAAGCCACTCGGGTTGAATGCCATCAGCCCTCTCTTAGCCTTTCCATCCATTACGGTTCGTGTGGTGTGTGTTCGAGTTAGTGTCTACAGTTGATTAGCAGTGGCTTTCGCAAGCACTATGCTTCTCTCTAACTAACTAACTAACTGTTTCTCCGTATTCTACTTTATATAACAGCATTACAATATAGCAAACTAATATCAATAATTGCCGGTGTTATTGTCGGTATCTATCGTGCAATACGTAAATGAACTAGTAGGAGGTGTTAGATATATTAGGATACGCGGGGGAACTTTGTAGAGCAAAAGGGCATGTAAAATATTACTATACCGGAAAACATGAAAAACTAAAGCGCGACACGCTAATATATCCTAATCAAATAGAAGCATGAACAAATATAAGCATAAACGCAAGACTGACCTAAAATGAAATAAGTACCTATATTACATACCTCCCTATCAAGGAAAATGAATCGTCCTCGATTCTTAAAGTGAATCTAATGAAAAATAATTAAACGTCCAATGAATATTTTGTGTCCATAAAATAGAAATCGACAAGTCCTGTGATTGAGATATTTGCCAGCTACTTGGTTTGACTATGCATCTCGGGATGGTATGCAGGGTGTTCGAACTGTCGTCTCGTGAACAGTTGTTCGTCGCCTTCCATCCTGAGGTACATGTCCTAAACTGATTCGTGAATCTGGGTTCTGGTCTGTTTCCAGCACCATATGATCCCACTTCTACTGTCACCATTGTAAAATTTGCTGCTGGTATATACATTTGTAAAACTTCTGACACCATTCGTTGTTTGAGCGATTGAACGAGCGAATAAACGACACGTTTTGACACACAAAATAAATTCCTTTTGTTCCATCCAAAGCTAAGACGTTCTTTTACACAATATCGAAACTTAGGTACTAAACAGCCTTTCACAAGCACTGTTACGCCATTAAATTATATATATTTATATATGAAACGAAACCTCGAGTGCTTTCACAAGCCACTCGGGTTGAATGCCATCAGCCCTCTCTTAGCCTTTCCATCCATTACGGTTCTGTGTGTGTGTGTGAGTTAGTGTCTACATGTTTGATAGCAGTGGCCTTTCGCAAGCACCACGCTTCTCTCTAACTAACTAACTAACTGTTTCTCCGTATTCTACTTTATATAACAGCATTACAATATAGCAAACTAATATCAATAATTGCCGGTGTTATTGTCGGTATCTATCGTGCAATACGTAAATGAACTAGTAGGAGGTGTTAGATATATTAGGATACGCGGGGGAACTTTGTAGAGCAAAAGGGCATGTAAAATATTACTATACCGGAAAACATGAAAAACTAAAGCGCGACACGCTAATATATCCTAATCAAATAGAAGCATGAACAAATATAAGCATAAACGCAAGACTGACCTAAAATGAAATAAGTACCTATATTACATACCTCCCTATCAAGGAAAATGAATCGTCCTCGATTCTTAAAGTGAATCTAATGAAAAATTAATTAAACGTCCAATGAATATTTTGTGTCCATAAAATAGAAATCGACAAGTCCGGTGATTGAGATATTTGCCAGCTACTGGGTTTGACTATGCATCTCTGGATGGTATGCAGGGTGTTCGAACTGTCGTCTCGTGAACAGTTGTTCGTCGCCTTCCATCTTGAGGTACATGTCCTAAACTGATTCGTGAATCTGGGTTCTGGTCTGTTTCCAGCACCATATAATCCCACTTCTACTGTCACCATTGTAAAATTTGCTGCTGGTATATACATTTGTAAAACTTCTGACACCATTCGTTGTTTGAGCGATTGACCGAGCGAATAAACGACACGTTTTGACACACAAAATCAATTCCTTTTGTTCCATCCAAAGCTAAGACGTACTTTTACACAATATCGAAACTTAGGTACTAAACAGCCTTTCACAAGCACTGTTACGCCATTAAATTATATATATATGAAACGAAACCTCGAGTGCTTTCACAAGCCACTCGGGTTGAATGCCATCAGCCCTCTCTTAGCCTTTCCATCCATTACCGTTCTGTGTGTGTGTGAGTTAGTGTCTACATGTTTGATAGCAGTGGCCTTTCGCAAGCACCACGCTTCTCTCTCTAACTAACTAACTCTGTTTCTCCGTACTCTACTTTATATAACAGCATTACAATATAGCAAACTAATATCAATAATTGCCGGTGTTATTGTCGGTATCTATCGTGCAATACGTAAATGAACTAGTAGGAGGTGTTAGATATATTAGGATACGCGGGGGAACTTTGTAGAGCAAAAGGGCATGTAAAATATTACTATACCGGAAAACATGAAAAACTAAAGCGCGACACGCTAATATATCCTAAACAAAGAGAAGCATGAACAAATATAAGCATAAACGCAAGACTGACCTAAAATGAAATAAGTACCTATATTACAGGTGTAAGCAGTGCTATTGCTAGCTTTTTCGCCCTAAGGAGGTGTTCAGGCCTCATTTGCCAACAAATGGAATTAGACAGCCTTAATTTGCTGACAAATTTGAATATTCACCGAAAAAGCACCCACACATCGCTAAAAATCCTCGATTTTGAGAAAAAACGTTGTTCAAAATTGCATTTTGCAGAAGCTCAGCCTCAGCTTGTCCTTAATTTGTTCTTAACTTTTGACCTGTTTTG